GTTTATATACAACACTCTTCAAGGTATTGTCTACCACAATATAAATTGTCCACTAGAGTAAGTGGTATTCCTGGCTAGTGTATGTTTATGTACAACACAGTTCAAGGTATTGTCTACCATAATATATAATTTGTCAACTAGAGTATGTGGTATTGCTGGCTAGTGTATGTTTATGTAGAACACTGTTCAAGGTATCGTCTACCACAATATATAATTTGTCAACTAGAGTACGGGGTATTCCTGGCTAGTGTATGTTTATGTACAACACAGTTCAAGGTATTGTCTACCACAATATATAATTTGTCAACTAGAGTATGTGGTATTCCTGGGTAGTGTATGTTTATGTACAACACTGTTCAAGGAATTGTCTTCCACAATATATAATTTGTCAACTAGAGGATGTGGTATTCCTGGCTAGTGTATGTTTATGTACAACACAGTTTAAGGTATTATCTACCACGATATAAATTGTCAACTAGAGTATGTGGTATTCCTGGCTAGTGGATGTTTATGTACAACACTGTTCAAGGAATTGTCTTCCACAATATATAATTTGTCAACTAGAGTATGTGGTATTCCTGGCTATTGTATGTTTATGTACAACACTGTTCAAGGGATTGTCTTCCACAATATATAATTTGTCAACTAGAGTATGTGGTATTCCTGGCTATTGTATGTTTATGTACAACACTGTTCAAGGGATTGTCTTCCACAATATATAATTTGTCAACTAGAGTAAGTGATATTCCTGGCTAGTGTATGTTTATGTACAACACAGTTTAAGGTATTTTCTACCACAATATAAATTGTCAACTAGAGGAAGTGGTATTCCTCGCTAGTGTATGTTTATGTACAACACAGTTCAAGGTATTGTCTACCACAATATATAAATTGTCAACTAGAGTATGTGGTATTCCTGGCTAGTGGATGTTTATGTACAACACTGTTCAAGGAATCGTCTACCACAATATATAATTTGTCAACTAGGGTATGTGGTATTCCTGGCTAGTGTATGTTTATGTACAACACAGTTTAAGGTATTGTCTACCACAATATAAATTGTCAACTAGAGTAAGTGGTATTCCTCGCTAGTGTATGTTTATGTACAACAAAGTTCAAGGTATTGTCTACCACAATATACAAATTGTCAACTAGAGTATGTGGTATTCCTGGCTAGTGTATGTTTATGCACAACACTGTTCAAGGTATTATCTACCACGATATAAATTGTCAACTAGAGTAAGTGGTATTCCTCGCTAGTGTATGTTTATGTACAACACAGTTCAAGGTATTGTCTACCACAATATATAAATTGTCAACTAGAGTATGTGGTATTCCTGGCTAGTGTATGTTTATGTACAACACTGTTCAAGGTATTATCTACCACGATATAAATTGTCAACTAGAGTAAGTGGTATTCCTCGCTAGTGTATGTTTATGTACAACACAGTTCAAGGTATTGTCTACCACAATATATAAATTGTCAACTAGAGTATGTGGTATTCCTGGCTAGTGTATGTTTATGTACAACACTGTTCAAGGTATTATCTACCACGATATAAATTGTCAACTAGAGTAAGTGGTATTCCTCGCTAGTGTATGTTTATGTACAACACAGTTCAAGGTATTGTCTACCACAATATATAAATTGTCAACTAGAGTATGTGGTATTCCTGGCTAGTGTATGTTTATGTACAACACTGTTCAAGGTATTATCTACCACGATATAAATTGTCAACTAGAGTAAGTGGTATTCCTCGCTAGTGTATGTTTATGTACAACACAGTTCAAGGTATTGTCTACCACAATATATAAATTGTCAACTAGAGTATGTGGTATTCCTGACTAGTGTATGTTTATGTACAACACTGTTCAAGGTATTATCTACCACAATATAAATTGTCAAATAGAGTAAGTGGTATTCCTGGCTAGTGTATGTTTATGTACAACACTGTTCAAGTTATTGTCTACCACAATTTAAATTGCCAACTAGAGTATGTGGTAATTTCCTTACTGATGTACAGTATGTCTATGAACAAAACTGTTCAAGGTTTTGCTCACCAAAGCAATATAAATTGCCAAAATAGAAAGTGATATTGCCCTTCAGTGCATGTTAATGCCAACACAGCAAAGATATTCCTCGACAAAGATCATCCAAACCTTTACAGTGTTAATTTCGCCCTTCACATTAGACTTCTATATCTATTATGTTGTTTACTAACGTTCTCTGTGATGATAAACCTGCCCTCTTTACAGAGGCAAAAACGGCAGAAGCTTATAATTAACTGCACAAAAGTTTCCTTCGTATACTTTAGTGCAGTTGCTAACCACAAACCATGGCATTTCCCACCACAGGAAAACTAATTGCCCAACACATATTTTGTGAACCTATTTTGCCCCCTAACAAGCTTGAGAGCTAACATGTGCTTATTGCTATTATATTTGGTGAGAGAAAACTTTTTTTTGTAATTTTTATTACAGATAATGAATGATAAAACAGATTAACTTTTTTAAATTTAGCTACTGTATATTGAAAAATTCAAAACTTTAGACCGTACTGCTTGAGTTTAGCACAATGGTGTTCCAGACACTGTATACATGCATGGTAACACATCCCTCAGACCAGGTGTTCAATCCAGTTGTATCTCTGTTGCGGTTTGGCAGACAGAACACCAGCATCTGTATGTGTCACTAATTACACGTACCTCATCTGTCAATAAACAGTAGATAAGTCGGTGACTTAAAGTACAAAGTTCTAATAAATTTCAACTTCTTCAGCCATTGTGCAAGGTCTATGCGAATACTATGCTGGTTAGGTGGCCAAACCTTGAGCCCTTCCTTGACCTTTAGGATATTAAAGTAATCAGTTTTAAGAACATTTTCATATACAGGTACATCTACCAAGTATTCCTTCATTTCTTTATCCTATAGGGATGTTGATGATGCCGAATCTTAAAATGACAGATACATTTGGGATTTGATTGAAAACACAGCACCGGGGAGACATATACTCATGAAATCATTTTGTCATCATTCAAAGTAAGTCAAGGATCTATTCAATCTATCTTGATTAAAAATCGTCTGTTGACAACTTTGTAAATCAAAATATGCAACAAGATGGACGAGGTGAGATACTGTCTGGACTAGATGGTGACTATCTTGTGATGGTGTGGTCACGAAAAAGTCCTGTTTCTTCTTCCCGGTGATTGATGAATTTAAACCATAAAAAAAATCAATACCGCCCTACCGTTCATTGTATTTCATCCACTTCAGCTTCGTAACACAAACAGGGACAGCTGCCGAGTTGTCATATCAGCAGATACCCCTCCCCACAAGATAATTTTTAATAATACCTGAGTCTGCATTTCCTGGAAACCAAAACATTCCATTCTCCAGGCTCTGCAACTTCAGACGAAAACTGCAGATCTGTGTTTGATGATCGTGAAGAGTAATAAAGACTATGGAGCATGGTTGATATATGACCGTGCCTGACCGGATGACAGCTCCTATTTTACCCATTTCTCAACGACAAACTCTCAGATGGATCGTTAAATAAATCAGTTAACTCATAAAAATGTCCTGGTCTTGTTAATTAACCAATTAATCGGCCAATCAAATGGTCACATTATAATTTACTCTATCAAGAAAGGAGATTGTAACCAAGAAGGGAAATTGCCATGAAATTTCCTTTAAACTACAGATGCAAACATAGCCTGTTAGAATTTTAAAACTTGCAATCTTGCTAAAAAAAATCAACATTTTAGCTTAGTTAGGTTATAAAGGGCAAACAAATATACCTGTCCACACTGTTAGACTGACATCAACTCATCTTCTGTGGTCTAGAATGGTTTGACTTTGACATTTAAATGTGAATGACCTTGAATATGCTATTGTTTGGTTGGGATTGATTAAAAAAAGGCATCTGTAACTGATCTGATTGTGTTTACTCTTTATAACTTAAAGGTTATGGTCCGGAGTAAAACATGTATGAAACATTTGACAATTAATTATGAAAAAAACCTTTTCTATTTGATGTCTTTTTTGCGACTTTGGCAGAGACTATGAGATTTGGCTCTGAAAAAGAAATACGTGATATGATCTATTAATAACAGCAATGTCTGAAAGTTTAATCAGATCATTTTCACAGTCCAGACACCATAGCATCACAGGTCATATAAAAGGAAAGTTTGACCCTGACCTTTAGTGGCTGTGCCATTAACTCCCTGGTATTACTCAAGGACTTGTGCATTAATATTACAGCCATTCTGTTTCAGGGATGCCTCTGTTGTCCTATAGCAAGATGGCCACTAGTGACCTAGTGCATCATCCATATTTCATCAACAGGACCTATACAAGTGGACTAAGTGCTGCTAATTACAAAGAAGCCTGGTGGAGAGTAATCAGCCTGTTGCACTGTCCAGAACATTCATAACAGCTTGACCTATACAACTCTGGTATTGTATTGTGTATAGCACTCTCTGTCAATGTAAGAGATATCAACAGCTATCCCTAAAAATACTTCCTTCATGGAGACACCCTCTGGTAGACGGGAAGTCGTTCATCACAATATTTGTCCATTTCCAACTGAGTTGCAAAACTGTCTAACAGTTGGTATATTAAACATCTACAGGACAAACTAAGTTTGCAAATATGTGTAAAACTGATCTGTAGCGCCAGCCAATCCTTGGTAAGGCATATATAGGTGTTCTGCTATCATAAAAATCTTAGGTATAATCTTGTTTTCTGGACAAACCTTTTCTCTTTTGTGGAAAAACAACATCTGCTATAAACACCCTAGATCTTTGTCCTTTTCGCTATCTTCTGTCAAACCAAAATCCTCCACACAGATTTTTTTTTAATCAAGCATAAACCTTTTCAATTTCAGCTATAGCCTACAGAATGCTTCTGAAAGAGAAAATCTTCTTGGTGGAATATTTTTATGGCATGCATGACACACAAATAATTTGTGAGACAAACGAGGTTGGACACTGAATACTTACATTTGGTTCTGATGCAAGGGTTCGGTGAAAATATGAGCTGGAATACAGTGACCTTTTTGCTACTTTTCTGTGTTGAAAATGATAATAGTCCGGCATGATCTGTAAAGAAATAAATACAAGGGAAAACGTTAGTTTGATGATCTGAACCAATGTGAATATGGAATTCGGTAGTGTATGTTTCTTTGACTGATATGTAATGAAGTAATAGCAAAAGTACAGTCAATGTTATTGACTAGAGATATATCTTAAATAAATTATGAAACGAGTTATTTCAACTTATATTAATCACTCATGTTGACCCGGATGTAAGCGTGAGTACCCCGAGTACAAAAAGAAAACCTACGTGGTCAGACAGGTGACCCCATACCTTTTCACATCCGTTTGGGGAATCGAACCCCAGCCACCATGGTGAAAGGCAAGTGCGCTATTAACTGCACACTCATAGAGATATATCTTGCAATACGCTTAGTGAATATTAAACACTAAAAAAATCAAAATACTTTAAAGTTAAATACTACAATGAATAAATATCATCTACACGTTATGGATCTTGGTTGAAATTCTTTTTATTTACCAGGGTATTTTACTCATGCATCCCTCAAATATGGCCAGGTTCAAATTTTATTGTGTTTTCCCAGTAGCCCAAAGGCCAGTTATTTGGCAATGTCGTTCATTTAAATAGAACTTAATAGTGCTTAACATCAGTATGCTACAGACCAAATATCATAACTATTTGCCTTTCAGTTATTCAATAAAACTTCTAAAAGTGTTCAATTTAGTTGACTCCTATGACCTTGAAAGTAGATTAATGTTTTTAATTTGGACAACCTGATATCCTTTCTTACAAGCATGCTACAGTCCAAATATAACCCTAGGCCTTCCTATTAGTTATTCAAAAGAATTTATGGCTGATGCTGAGCCACGACGTTTCCTGGGGCGAAGGAGCTAAAAACACATATTTTTAGAAAAAAATATGATTATAGGTCACATTTTATTATAGGTCACATTTTGAAATTGGATGAGCACATAATCAAATCGTTATAGCTCTCCCGATATAAGAGTCAGAGTATTTTGATGTTGTTTTTTATCATCAGTGCCTTTAAATTCACATTTGGTGGATGAAGTAGGGCAAGTCATAGTTTAAAAGATTAAATTGAATTAGTACATTTTTTATGGGATGATGATGAAGTAGGTCACACTGAATCATGTATCTTATATAGCACACTACCCATGACATCAAACAACCTGTAATGTTACAAAACATTTTTAAGGTCAATTTCATATTATCAATTAGATTACGTGTGTGCACCACCTATATATAACTAGAAAACTTCCATACTGTAGCTGTGGAAATATTCAATGCAGGACATTTCAACTTAAAGATCGAGATGGTGAGATTCATGATGATTGTGGTACGTGTTTGACTTGAGAGAGGTCAAATTAAATAAAGTTTTACTAGAGAAAGGTCAATCTGACTTTAGTTTATACAACTTAATATCATGGGAAATGGACACATGGGAGAATGTTGACCTAATGGAACTGACCTGAACTGCTCAGAATATGGTCTATTAGCCCCAGGGATGGAGAGAGTTGGGGAGGGTATTTGCTTTGAGGAAGATGTGGTCAGTTTCACAGGATAAGTCACACTGCCCTGGTTAAATATGGTTATAGTTTACTGGAGTGAGAGGTCAACTCGAATTGGTAGATATTGGAATGTGGACCAGTCATATGGAGTGATACTCCTGTCTGTAGTTTGAAGTTTTCCAAAAGTTTCTTCACTGTTTATGTAAGTGTGTTGCCTGTTGAGCTGAAGGTTGGTTATGATAGACTGACATGGGGATCTGTGTAGCTGTGATGCTGGGATAGATAAGGGGTGTACCACATAGATAGGAGTAGTGGGATCTATAGGTGTGTGCCCACACACTAAACACACCTACAGCCAACAGGTGCTACTCCTCTAGTAGCTCCAGCAACACACATGGCCTGCTGCAAAACATGGAAACAGCATGCAATGCCAAAGCCGTAAGTCAATACAACTGGATGGTCCCAACGGATACATGCTCGAAATACTGCAGTAGTACTGTATAGAGTATTTGTTCAATGTTCTGGTGTATACCCCCACTGAAGATTTATGAAGATTTACAAGCATCCAACAGCAATCAAACCTTCATGATAAATCTGGACTTCAAAAGGTTCCAGTCACACGAGTGTATGTTATATTCAAGTATTGTTCCGATAGAAATAACAAAGGTTACAGCTAGGAAAGTTACACTGATCTAGATAAAACCAATATAGAGTTCAGCCACAGAATACAGCTACAGATACTACAGCTACCAAGATACAACACTAGAAGGTTTAGACACAGAATACAGCTACCCAGATACAAAGCTTTAAGGTTTAGACACAGAATACAGCTACCAAGATACAAAACTAGAAGGTTTAGACACAGAATACAGCTACCAAAATACAACACTAGAAGGTTTAGACACAGAATACAGCTACCCAAATACAAAGCTTTAAGGTTTAGACACAGAATACAGCTACCCAGATACAAAGCTTTAAGGTTTAGGCACAGAATACAGCTACCAAGATACAACACTAGAAGGTTTAGACACAGAATACAGCTACCAAGATACAAAACTAGAAGGTTTAGACACAGAATACAGCTACCCAGATACAACACAATTGAGTTGTTTAAACTCATAACCTAAATACATGCACAACAATTACATGATTGCAGCTAATTATATAACTGACTACCACCATGTAGCTAACTGATTATAAAAAACCTTGTTGTTGCAACTAATTAACACAGCTAATTTTTACAGTTAACTGTATATGGAAACTGTAATATTTGAGTAATTTTATATTACATACTACATGGTTGCAGCTGATTACAACCAATAATGCATGGTTACTGCTAATTAACACGACCATAAGTGTTGCAACTAATGGATGCAATCACTTCAAAGACAGCAACCACTTATAATAGCTGTAAATGTGGATACACACTAAACAGGCTGAGCCACTTATAATAGCTGTAAGTGTGGATACACACTAAACAGGCTGAGCCACTTATAATAGCTGAAAGTGTGGATACACACTAAACAGGCTGAGCCACTTATAATAGATGTAAGTGTGGATACACACTAAACAGACTGAGCCACTTATAATAGCTGTAAGTGTGGATACACACTAAACAGACTGAGCCACTTAGAATAGCTGTAAGTGTGGATACACACTAAACAGGCTGAGCCACTTATAATAGCTGTAAGTGTGGATACACACTACACAGGCTGAGCCACTTGTTAGAATATGCCCGCCTTGACTTACTGTCTGTGTACATAGCAGATCTGCATGTTTTTGTTTGAGTTGGAGCTCAGCTCTGGTTTTCAACATTTTTCAAATCATAGTTCAAATCTACATGTGTGATAAACAGGGCCTTTTTTTGTCAGATGTCTATGTAAATACAGTTACCAGAATCTAGACAGCCTATCTTTATTTAATATACCTTGTCAGTCAGGTCGTCATTTCAACACGATACGATATAAACATACTAAGTTATAATTCAATAACACATATACTTCTTATTTCTATCTCTCAATACATTTCCACTATAAATCATGATGTTAAATTTAAAACATCTCTGCAAGTTCAAAGAACTGCAATTCAAAATGGTTTATATTCAATTATTTGTAACTAGAGACCTACATTTTATATATCATAGCTCAACATCCAAACTCTGCTTCATCCCCTTCTATACTCTCTACACTACATACACCAACACAAGCTTTTACATTAAGCAACATTTCATTCAACAGATATTTTTAAAAGCGTTGAAAACTTTGTACCGTGCAAATTTCTTAATTCATTATTTTAGAAACGGTACTTAAGTACTGGAGACCAATGTATTCCTAATTAACAGTGGTATTGAAAAACGGCAACGGTTCCTCAGAGCTTTATGGAGAAACAAACAACACTGGCTAATCAATATTTAATTACTCTACCGAAAAGCATTTTCCTGGATCTGGAGTTTTCAGGACGCTTTCCCGTTATTCAGAAATTGGGCGCAAGCAGACAATAGCCTAAAGTATTGTCCTCAATGGTTTCTTTTACCAATTTACTCCATCAATTGTTTCTCTGCTAAAATATGTATGTAAACCTACTTGCCACAAATATACAAACCATTCTACAGTTATACCAAGCACTTGCCACGGATGGCAACAACAGATGGTCCCTATGCTAACAGTTTATAACTTATACCTGTACCATCATTTTTTGGCACCAGGAGGTTTTACAGGAAAACACTGATAACATTTTGTACTGTATGTTCACTTCCATAAATCACGGAAACCTTATTCATTTATTTCTTTTTCACAATAGCCAAATAGATATTCCAGTAGTCCAGAACTGCAAAGCTTCACATCTCCAGTTAACTGTTCATGTCTACCCACAAAGCACATTTGAATATCAAAATGGGTATGACCCTTTAAAGGCAGTATCACCTCTAGTGATCACACATATTTATACCAAATTAAAAGAAAAATCAGAAACAATTCATCACATACTGACTGGTAAATGAAACATATATTCCCTGCACCCTGGCCATTTCCCCTAGTTTTACTGGTACATGTATATCAAACCTAAATTAGGAGACCAAAGTCCAAAATATGATCTCTAATGATAAAGTTTCAATTCACATTGAAATCAAAATGAAAAATAAAAGTGGTTTCTCATTATAGTTGGTCTCTAAATGGTCTCTTAACTCCTGTGGTCTCTAAATGGTTTCTTAACTCCCGTGGTCTCTAAACGGTCTCTTAACTCATGTGGTCTCTTAATGGTTTCTTAACTCCAGGTGGCTCTTCATGGTCTCTTAACTCCTGTGGTCTCTTAATGGTTTGTTAACTCCAGGTAGCTCTTAATGGTCTCTTAACTCCTGTGGTCTCTTAATGGTTTGTTAACTCCAGGTGGCTCTTAATGGTCTCTCAACTCCTGTGGTCTCTTAATGGTCTCTTAACTCCAGGTGGCCCTAATGGTCTCTTAACTCCTGTGGTCTCTTAATGGTCTCTTAACTCCAGGTGGCCCTAATGGTCTCTTAA